GCTATGAGTGAGACCATCCGGTATTTTTCTTTTTCTTTTTGGCTTATTTCGCTGAGCATGATCCCTTCCAGCGCCATCCATGTTGCTGCAAATTGCATGTGTTTATCTTTTTTGAATGCTGAGTAATATTCCATGGTATATATGTACCACATCTTCTTGATCCAGTCATCTACTTTTGGGCATTTGGGTTGTTTCCAAAGCTTAGCTATTGTAAACAGTGCTGCTATAAACATAGGGGTGCAGGTGCTCTTTGGAATTGATGTTTCTGTGTCCTTTGGGTAAATACCTAGGAGTGGAATTGCTGGATCATATGGAAGCTCTATGTTTAGTAGGTCCAGAAATCTCCACACAGCTCTCCATAGTGGTTGGACCAGTTTGCACTCCCACCAACAGTGCAGAAGAGTTCCTTTTTCTCCACATCCTCGCCAACATTTGTTGTTGCTAGTTTTTTTAATATGTGCCATTCTCACTGGTGTGAGATGGTATCTCATGGTAGTTTTGATTTGCATTTCCCTGATTGCAAGTGATGTTGAACATTTTTTCATATGTCTGTTGGCCATTTGCATTTCCTCTTCAGAGAAGTTTCTTTTTAGCTCTTCTGCCCATTTTTTGACTGGATTATTTTCTTTGTTGTTGCTGAGCCTCATCAGCTCTTTGCAGATTTTTGTGATCAGTCCTTTATCATTAGTGTTGGGTGCAAAAATGTTCTCCCAGTTGGTGGGGTTTCTCTTTGTTTTTGTTATTGTCTCTTTTGCTGTGCAGAAGCTCTTTAATTTGATGTAGTCCCAGCTGTTTATCTTTGCCTTCACTATCACTGCTTTGGGTGATGTGTCTGTAAAGATGTCTTTGATATGCAAATCCCGTAGTGTTTCGCCTATATTTCCTTCTATGTATTTTATGGTTTCAGGTCTTATGTCTAGTTCTTTAATCCATTTTGAGTTGATTTTTGTGTATGGTGTGAGGTAGTGGTCAAGCTTCATTCTTTTGCATGTAGCGACCCAGTTTTCCCAGCACCATTTATTGAACAAACTTTCTTTGCTCCAATGCATAGTCTTTGCTCCTTTGTCAAAGATTAGTTGACCATTATATGGTAATTTTTAATCAGGCCTTGAAGTTCTTAAAATAAAGTGAAAAATTAAAGTTTGTGTCAACTTTGACCTTTGAGAAAGTAAACAGAATTCAAGGTCTAATGTATATTACAGGTTGTGCTTCTTCTTAGATGCATTAGCAGTTTCAATTTCTCAATTTCATTCATTTGGCAAAAATAGTGTTGAATTTCTGCAATTTGAACCATGATATTTTTGACAGACATGTTATATATAATAGACCATAGCATAAGAAACAGATAACCACTAAAGACAAAACAAACCCCTCAAGAATTTCAGTATGTCCCAAATTTCAGGTGCATGTATTACACTTTGAAACATATCCAAGGGAGATATGAGAATCTGCCTTTTTTTGTTCATCTCAGATGGTTGAAATTTTGATTTCCAATGATGTTCAAAATATTTCTAACAGTCATACGGTTGCCATTTGGTTTTACTGAAACTTAGTGCAAAGAGAGATGCTTTAGTAGGATAAACAAAGAAGATTCAGAGAGCTTTTGATTTGAAACAGATTCTTTTTACCAGCTTACCATGTATTCCATTCTCATTTGCAAAACAGGGTCAAGGAAGTTAATCCCTGAACAGAAATGTTATTGTTATTCACAACAGAAAAATATCAAAAATGAAAGTAAAATTCAGTAATAGCTTCAGAATGGATAGATATGAATTGCATTTATTTAAAGAGACTCTGCCTAATAATGTTAAAGAGCACATAAATTTTTTTTCAAACTACAACTCTCAAGTAACAACAACTGAAAAATTTATGAGTTTTCCATTCCATATGAAATTCTATAACAATGAAAGGTTTGGAACCTACAACATAAAGAAAAGAAGGCATATCAGTAAATATCCTGTATATTCACTTCTACAAGAGAAAAATAAATGAATGGGAGAAGGGTGGTGGTTAGGTTGTAGATTCTGTGTTTACCACAAAATCCAACTTTGTGGAATAGCTGCTTGAATTCCAGCTACTAAATTAGCATATGTATTTGTATAAAACTGAGCTGTAAGAAAGGATCACTTGCACCATCCCTGCACAGGAAAATGTGGAAAGGGCTAAATGTTCTGTTTGATGCTACATTTAGGGACACAAGAACTGCATAGGTCAGCCAGTGGCATGTTCTGATTTCCTCGATGGCTGTGCCTTCTTAGTCTCTTAGTTAGATCTAAGAATGACCCACTCTCAAATATATAAAATCAGCCAAAGTTTTTTGCCTTGCTTTTCCTTGTCTGTATTTTCCTATTAAATCTTTGCAACTGAATCTATTAAGATTTTTTTACAGGACAGTATGCTTAAATAAAATTTGCATTCAGAGAACTTTTTTGAGAACACACTAAAACTAGTGGGAAAGAGTAAACCCAGGTTATAGAAACCATGCAAAGCACTCATGGAGGTTGTTAGTTTACTTTTCTATAAATTTTAAGGTCAGTTCCTATGTTGGCTACAATTCTGTTTTGAAGTCCTGATGGTGGCAAAAAATACTCAAGCCTCATTCTTGTGGTTTTCAGCCCACAAGAACTCTTAGAAAAGGATTATTGTTCATAAGTCACAACTGATTATCATTTATCTGAATACAGTATAGAATTTCCATCAAACTGTTCATGAGTTCTTTTGCAAATCATGTGGTATATGGAAAAAAAATATCTTATTTAGATGCACCAACTTGGCTCTTCCTGGTGGCACAAGGGGTTAAGTCTCAGCATTATGAAACTATCTGCAGCCAGTGCAGTGATAGTTTGATCAAAAGCTATGTGCAGGCACTGCAGCAAGAGTTCAATCACGGCCAGGGAGCTGACCCACATGGTGCAGCAAACCTCTGCTGTCTTCTCCGTTGCTCCTCTCAACAGTGTATTTCAATTTGCCTGTTTGGTCCCTACTCTGTCTCTGATGAATTCTCTTACCCCTCCACTCCCACATACACCTCTGGCCTATACCCCAGCTCTTGCATGCACAAATAAATAAGAAATAAATCTTAAAAAAATAAATGCACCAAATAAATATAGAAGTGGAGGTATGTACATAGAATTACCTGCAAAGTTCAAACTTTAATAAAATGCATTATAAATGGATAAAATATATTTTGTATACTAGATTAAGGAAAAAACAATGTTAAAGGAACAGTGGATTGTAAAAAATAATATTAAATACAATTTAGTACTTAGATGTTAAAATGATTTAGTGTTTGGTGTTTAATGTTTACAGACAGAGAAAAAAACATTTTTTCTTGAACTACAATATATGAAATTATTGTATTTTTCCTTTATGCATTTGAAGGGAAATCAAAACTCACAACAAATAAATTGACTTGACACAGAATGTAAAGGAATACCCAAAGCACTAGCATTTAATCATGTTACATAATTAGTTGACTTTTGAAAAGATTAGCATGGCCAATGCTGTGTTACATTAAATTTTCAAAACTTTATGTATCTCAATACACACGTTTCCCTACTCTACCATAATATATGGGATATGATTTATAAATTTTCAGAATCTTTTTTACAAGGTGCTATGAAATGGTTAGTTGACATCAGTACCCTATATCAGATAAAGCAAATGTCACTATATGTCTTAGTTCCATAAAACCTCTAAGTATTTTTCAGTGAGACTGGAAAATACAACAAAGTTGTCCTTCCTCTTAGAGAGGAAGTCTATGTGGTCATGACTAGGGTTACCCATAGGGCACTGTGGGGATCATGACTTTATTGCATCTGCTGGACTATCTATATCTGGGCTAACACCAACATCTCTCAGTGCCCATTATTGACGACCAATAGGGGAAGGGAAAGGAAGGCAGTCATGTAAGATAGGCAAAGCTCTGAGGTGAATTTTGGAAACTACAAAGATAAGAATATTGGCTTTTTTAGCAACTGAGTGAGCTGATTCAGTCATTAAATCTAACAAGGTCAGCACTTGGCTTCGGTGCTTATTATGAAATTCAGGTAATTTGTCAGATGAGCATGCTTATTATTCTCAATTTTCAAATCAAATTGAATTCAGAGCAGTGTAACACTGCAGTGGTTATGATTATTAAAAGACGAAAGTGATTTCATTAACATTTTTACTTAGAAATCACCTAAACAACTCTATTATATAGCCAACAATAATATTAATAATATATAATTGTGTCTGTAGTATGGATAACTAAATATTAATATTTACTAGCAATTAAATATTAACATTTAACCATTAATGTAATTTTGAGCTTAAGTCTTACAGTAGTGTTGTGAGCTGGTTATTATATTATCTATAACTGTGATGATCTCAGAATAGATATTTATTCCAATCTCCATTACTTCTTATCTGTGTGTTAATAGGCAAGTTCAAATTCCTAAATATTGCATGACACCAAAAATCTTATCATATCTACAGCCATTTCTCAATACAAATTTATTCAAGAAATGAGTACATGGAAGGAAAGAAAAGAAGGCGGAAGAGAAAGGGAGAAAGGATAGAGAAAGAAAAAGATTGGGATGATGGGATAGAAAGAATTGGTAACTTAATCATGATAATTCAAATAGAAAAAAATTGATATCTCTTCAAAAGAAATTCAAGAGGAATTAACATATAAAACTCAGTATATGCAAAGAAGTTGAGTTATTGAATATAAATATCTGTATGCTGCAAATTTGTCTTTGTTAATTATCTTTTACACATAAAAATCATCAAAGGGATATATTTTTCTTTCTTTATGTCTATTACTGTTTTACTCTCTTTACATAAACCTCTCAATGCTTCATGTAAAAATGACAATGTGAAAAATTAAATATTATTGTTTTGTTCCTAAGTTCACAAGAAAAACAAGGTGTTTAATATAATACTGAACAAAAGTGTTGACAGCACAATAATAAACTGCTTGCACAATTACTAAAATAATTTGCATTGATACTTACCAGGATATCTTTGCCTGCCCATTTGCATTCGTCTCTTCTGGTATATGATACTGGCCACACAATCTAAGTGCAGAAAAGAAACATTATTTTATGCCAAATAATTTCTCTAAGAGATCCAACATTAAAGTCTTTTATTTATTTATTTACTTATTTATTTACTTATTTATTTATTTATTTATACGAGCACTGGGTACAGTCAGAAGTGCGGGAGGATGAGAGAATTCACCAGGGCCAGAGTGGGGAACAGAACAGGCAGACTGATGAAATACACTGCTGAGGGGAACAGCAGGCATGGCAGGAGAGGTCTGTGCCATGTGGGACCCTCGCCTAGGGACAGGGATCAAACCAGCGCTGCAGAGGCTGTGGGCAGCTTCGCAGCCCAGCGCTCAACCACTGAGCCACCTGGGGAGGCCCCAACATTAAAGTCTTGTAGATCAAATTGGGGCCACTGATATTAAGAAAGTACCATAAAATACTATGTTGTGGCACCAATGGGCTTAGAGGGGCATCAGTTAACTGGTCTGACCTTAAATTATTCATTATCTACCTATACAGCTGCTGTGTAGAAGAGTTGAGCAATCAAAAATCAATGCTGCCAAAAAACTAAACAGTGTGGGATGGAAAGAAGTGTAATACAGATTGAAAAAGGGATATCAGATTGACAGGATATGAAAATCTAGTGAAGAAATGGAGATTTAGGTGTAGAATATGGATATTTTCCTAAATTAGCTGGTTGTTACATGAAATAGTAACACTGAAATTTTAACATGGGGTACTCTGGATCCATTTCCATAATCCAAATCTTAGCAGAACATGCTAGAAAGAGTAACTAATATGATTTAAAAAAATCTTAGAAAGGGTTTTTTTTTTAGGGGGGGAAGAATGGAAAATAGATTGTGTGGCATTGTATACTTTGGGGAGCTAGACAAAAAAATAAAGAAGCGAACAACTAACCTGAAACATATTACCTTCCTCATTGCAGGTAAAACTACGTGAGATTATGTGAAACTAATTGCTTATGTGTTGTCTCTACTATTTGGTCTTCATTTTTTGAGAGGTTTTTGTCTTGTATGAATATAGTGACACTGGTAGATGAGCCAGAGCATGAGTGGTGGTGCAGAGAACTGTAGATGCATGTCCCTCAACAACGGGAATGCAAATGTCCTCATATACATTTTAATATAAAATTTCCCAGTTCCCTTAAGCGATTTCAATGACTCATCTCTGTTGTGAAGCAGAACAATTTGATGTTTTTTTATTCATCTTTCTCCACTGTAACAGTTAATTTTAGGGAAAAAATCAAATTTAAAAGAAAATCCAGAGATGGTGGCAGTTAATCATTCATGTCTGCTAGAAAGCTTTTAACCTCAAAATGACTGATTATCATTCATTTGGAAACCACTAGATAATTCAAAACTTGGGCAAAGGCTGTGATATTCAATCTAGGGAATTAAAAATCAACATACAACACATTTAAAAGAAAGTATTTAGGACATATTGAAATGACCTATAATGACATGACAAATGCATTACAAGTTCATGCACAAGCAAAAAAGCCCTAAAAATCCTTTCCTTGGATGTGCATTCATTTTTACCATTTTAAGCTCTAAATTTATATATTCTTTCCTTTTTTTTTTCACACACTTTTATTTTTCTGTATATGTCTGTAGGTGTAAATTAAAGTTATCATTTAACTTGTTCCACAAGTTATTTAAAAATGTAGTCATATAATAAAAAAAATAGCACATGTTTATCGTTAAAGTTAATATTACCCTGATTCTTGAATTATAAGGAGATTGCTGGGCAGATTCATACTACAGGTTCCATAGTCCTATATTCATATTGGCTGTGGAAAGGGTAAATAAGTGTTCTATTCTTATTGAAAGTTTGTAGTGGAAGAGAATCAAATATAAATTTTCTCTGGGACACAATAATAATAATATATAGCAGAGCTAAGATTTACTGAACTCTATATTCAGTTTTCCAACTAGCTTATGTAACAATCCTGGATTCAAGCCTGATTTTTAATTCAAAAAGGCACATTGTATTCTCATCATTACCTAGCTTTTGATTGTTGGCATTGAGATAACATGGGCGTCCTTTTGTGATTTCTCTTTTATATCAAATATTAATAAAAAATACTCTTGATAAAATTCATGTTAAATTCCCTAACATTTAGAGTGGTATGTGCTCTCAACTTTCAAGAGTTCCAGAGTTGGAAGATTTTTCTTAAAACTGAAAGATCTGGCATGAGTAAAATAAGTTAAATAAATAAATAAAATTAATTAGAAACTGCTCTTTGAAAGCAATTTAATAAGAGTAACAATTAGCCAGTGGAACACACATATATATATAGTCTATTTTCAACAGTATCCATTTCCATGAAGGATAATTCTTAACTTTATGGTTAGATTTATTAATACATTGCTCTCTTTCTTTTATTTGCTCAGACATTTATCAGTAAACTCACAAAGCCTAAATTTCTTATCTTCATATTCAAAGAGTCAAGAGTTTCTAAGAGCAGTTATGTTTCGACTCATGGCAGCAGACCTTACTTATGTTATTTAATATGTGTCTATGCCTTAAAGAGATTACACCCTTTTATCAAGGTCAAGCATCTTTGCATGATTCTTCCAGACCCAAAAATATATTTTTGTATCTAGTAAGAATTGACTTAGAATTGATCTTTATCTTCATGCATCTTATCTTTACCATTATATTGGAAGATACTCAATTTTATTTTATGACATACTAGAGTTTATAACAATGTAGATGCTTAGGAAGAAGCTTGTAACATTTTATATAGGTTAAAAAGAGCAATAATAGAAAAATACAGACAGATGTAAGTTCTTAAGTGAAGGGCATTTGTTCATAATAAAGAGTATGACAGAATTAAAATATAATAATAAGTTTGGAATGGTATGTTTTAAAACTAGAAATATGTCTTCTATTACTAGAATGATGATTTGATACTTAAGGGCAAGAGCTATAGAAGTAATACTGTAATATTGGGCAAATCAATTAACAATTAATTTAGTATATATTTATTTGAATCTAGTTGGTAGAAGACACTGTTATGCTTCCTAGCCACACAAATGACTCTAGGATTTTTCTCACTATAAACGTTAAATTGTCATATGCTGATTTGTGTCCTTTCAAATTTAGAGCCAATTGCGTATCTCAACCAAATTCAGAAAAAATGTTAAATACATATTCCTAGGTGATATGTTCTTGCACATTATAATTTTATAGTTATATATATTTCCATTAATATATATTAATTTACAGTGACAAAAATGTCATAAACACTAGAAATTTGAATTGATAAATCTATTGTAAACTATCACATTTTTCTTAATCATCTTAAATTTTCCATTCATTTTATAAAGAACAGTTTCCTTTCACGAAAGAACAAAATAAATCTACCTATTTTGTGATCTTTACAAAAGATCCTAAAATATTTTTAATTTTAGAAAAACAAATAGTTTTCTTAAATAACAGATACCTTTAGGAAGACTGATACCATCTGAAGAGGTTAGAAAATAAATTGATTGAAAATATCAGAAAATTATCAAGGTAATTTCTAAGTGCCATGTCTAATTATAAAATATACCACTAAGGGCATTCCATTTTCTATAACTATATGTAATTAATCAAATCTCTTTACACAGTCGGAATTTTAGTGTTTGGCTAATAAGGGAGGCTAAAGGGGTGTACTCTATGAGATATAAATCAGTTTAAAATTTAAATTTTATTTTATCCCAAAAGCATCCTCCTCCAATCAGAAGATAATATTTTTACAATTCTGTTACTTTTAAAATTATTTTCCAATCTCTTACAACTTATAAGAAATTGAGGCCTGCTACTCTATAGCCTCTTAATACTCTACTACGTTATTAAGAAAAAGGAAAACTAGTATACATTATTACACAAGTATGTGTACTCTAAAAAGCACATAATACCAGCACTCTTGTGAAAGCTGTTACATAAAGATCTTTGTTCTTCAGAGAATCAAGACTAGAAATATTCACTGTGAAAAACTGGTTGACATAGAGTATATACAGATTCAGTAACATAATTTCTATTGGCAATTCATTTTTATTTTCCAAACTGTATAACTTATTAAATAAACCAGAAACACTATAAAGAATAGGATAAAATTTACAGACTGCTAGTGTCTAAATGACCACATCTGCAAAAATCTGACACTGAAAACTGATCTTCCAGGTCAATTTGGTAAACATTTTGTTTAAAAGACCAGATAGGAAATATTTCAGTATTTGTGGCTCAGATAGATGATCTCCATCATAACTAGTTAACTCTGCCATTGTAGAAAGAAAATAAAGATAATGTGTAAATGAATTAAAGTGTCAGTTCTAATAAATGTCATTTACAAACACAGGTGACATTCCAGACTAGGCAGTATATAGAGATGGATGAACTCTACATTTGCTGTAACAGGGAGATGTATATTACATTAATTCAATACAATATATTTCTGTAATAGTTCAGGTATTCACTTTCATGTAGAAAAATAATATAACTTTGGAAGGATAAGATGCAATTAGTATTTTCTGTAATGATCATTGAAAAAAACATGGCTATTGGCTTCATTTTTAGGCTTTACTGCATTCATTGATTGTGATAGTCAAATGAATGCATTATCTTTATTTGCATCTTGAAACATTAAAAGAATTAACTGAATTTTTTCAGCTCTCACATGGTGCTAGAATTCTGTATAACATAAATTGTTTCAAAAGAACTACAATGCATATATTAGAATGAAGATACCTTTTGAAAATCTTTGATATTAACCAGGTTGAATGAAAATATGTGATCCTTTGCTCCAACATACAGCCTACTCCGTTCCTCATCCAAAAGGAAGGTATGATAACTGGAGCTGTTGGCCAAGCCATTGAAAGTGATCACATTGTTGGATTCCAACATTTCTGTAAGATAACAAAGCAACACATTGGGTGTTAATGTTAGGTCCTACATGAGCATAAGCCATAGGCACACAGTATTCTGACTACTTCCTGCTTTAGTTACTGATCAGGGACTGTTCATGGCACTAGAGACCCATAGTAATCAATTCTTTTACTCAATAAAATACATGCTATATTCATAAGTCTGATGATTTCTTACTCAAAACCAAACACTTCTACAAAGAGAAATAGCTTGTCTATACAACTGGTTTGGTGGAATATCGTTGCACGCCAAGAATAGTCAGTGTTGTTTAAAAACTGTCTTTAATTTTACACAGAATTGTTTAGGTAGTTTCATTTCCTCCAAGTCATTAGCTAGAAAGATAAGCAGGGGCCAACAGAGCAGAAGTATTGTGGGGGAAACATTGTTTAATCCCCCAGGTTGCTTGAGTCTTTTTCATTTGAGGATTTTTGATATTTTGGGGGACCATGAAATTATTAAATTCACTATCTAAATCCTTTGTAGTATTTTGAAACTGATAAATATTGAGAAGCTGACTAGGCTTTTAGGAAAACATAAGTGAATTTTGCTATCTGAAACCAATGTATAATATTGCTATCATTTTCCAATTTATTTCTGCTGTAAATGGGCAAATACTGAACATTTAGACCTACATCTTAAGTAAGAAAATTATTTCAAATTAAAAAAAACATTAAATATAAATTCTAACATTTACATGAGAAAGGTAATTTTTGATAATGGTCAAAGAAGTTTTCTTTCTTTACTTGCTTTAACATTTTCTTAATCAAATTTTATAGATTTTCCATTCCTTTGCAAATCCTTATAATTTTGGTTGTCTGATTTCATACCTCACCATTCTTTTTAATAATCTGCTTTATTACAAAAAAATTAGATAGAGATATGTCAATAGATATCTATATCCCTCTCTCTCTCTTTCTCTCTTTCCACAACTACCATTTCACAGGATAGACAAAGATTCTCCAAATTCTGTGTCCTGAATCAATGATCTAAGTTTTTGGGTACACACTCCATGGTACCATTTCATCAGCATCCAAAAATGTAGGTGTGCTATCCAAAGAAAGGAAGCAGCAATGTATCTCCTTCCTCTGTCCTGCCCTGACACCAGACCATTAGATATTTGATTAATTTCTTTGTTTTATCTATTTATGCTACTTTGTTCTCCATCATATCACAGAAAGTATTATTCCAATAAAGGATTAAGTTCAAGCCCTTACTTAGCATTAAGGTCATATTGCCACCATTTGCGTTTCACCTCATTCCAGTTCTCACCATCCTGCCAGTAAACACATTGTGCACTCCTCCAACTTTGCAGCTATTGTTCCCAGTACCTACAACTATATGTTACCTGACAAAATAGCATCCACTACTATTTTTAAGTTAGCTTAAATACAACGTCCAAGAAATTATTATAGAATTAATTTCTTTGCAACATTTAAATTACTCTGTATAGCTTACATCACCATTTCTATTATAATAATTTACATAAATGACTTATCTACCAGAATTAACATTCCCTCTTGCTAGGAAATGTACACTTTAAATCATATCTAGATAACATTTTTAAAGATTTATTTATTTATATAAGAACCGGGGTACAGGCCAGATGCACAAAATTAACATTCCCTCTTGCTAGGAAATGTACACTTTAAATCATATCTAGATAACTTTTTTTAAAAGATTTATTTATTTACATAAGAACCGGGGTACAGGCCAGATGCGCGGGAGGGTGAGAGGATTCACCAGAGACAGAGCAGGGAACAGAACAGGCAGACTGATGAAATACACTGCTGAGGGGAGCAGCGGGCGAGACAGGAGAGGTCTGCTGTGCCGTGAGGGATTGTTGCTGGCCAGCTGGGATGGACCCTGCACTGCAGAGGCTGCGGACAGCTTCTCATTGCTGCTCTCCACCGCCTGTGCCACCAGGGAGGCCCATATGTAGATAACTTTTAATACCAAAAAATAAATATTTTAGAAATGTTATTATACCATATTGTGTAGGGCCTAACGACATGAAAAGCAAAAACTGGGGGCCTCCCTAGTGGTGCAAGGGGTTAAGCACTGCACTATGAGGCAATCTGCGGCCACTGCAGCACAAGTTCTATCCCCTGTCAGCCAGGTAGCAACCCACATGGCACAGCAGACCTCTCCTGTCTTGCCTGCTGCTCCCCTCAACAGTGTATTTCAGTCAGACTGCCTGTTCTCTTCCCACTCTGTCTCTGGTGAATCCTCTAAACCCCTGTACTTCTGGCCTATACCCCAGCTCTTGTATGCATAAATAAATAAATTTTGAAAAAATAATAAACTGTTTTCCTTCTCAAACCGTTTCCTTTAAAATAAAAAAAAAAGAAAAGCAACGACTGTATGTGTTCAGTACATATGTACCATCAGAAGCCTAATAACACAGTATATATTATGGATTAGTAGTATGTTAGAGTTTGAATTTAATTAGCATAATAGTAGAGATACCAACTAGGCATACTAAATAAGTGAAAATAAACAGCTGAAGGTAACCAAAGGCAGAATCATTTAAGAAATACAGGGTGGATTTTAATTGGAAATGTATACAAGCTACATAGGGGAGCACTAAGCATCAAGAACAAAAAGTTATAGAAAAACAAATTGAAGATGGAGTCATCCAGTTATAAATAAAAATACAAGTATGACAGTAGTACTTATCTACTAGGTATGAACAGTAGGATTAATTCCTTATGCTACCTGGACCTGTGTGTTTGGAAGATGGGGTTAATATTGTATCTTCAAGGAGCTATTGTGCAGTGAAATTAGATAATTTATATAAAGAACCTAGAATAATAGTTGGTATAGTAAGTACCTCAAAGGTCTCCTGTGGTATAGGTAAAGGTTAAACATTAGTATGTTCTATTTTCTTGACCAACAGTAGCCAATTAAGGTATAGATGGAACATACTGAAAATATAAAAACAAACATCTATTTTACCAAATGTATTGATATGTTAACATTAGCAATCTTATATGGTAAAGGGAATCAATAAGACAAGTGATATGCTTCTTTATTTACATTACTATTAAAGGTAATGGTTATTTTCAGAACAGTGAAGTGTTCTATCTTTTTGTCAATTTCTATATCCTGAATTTTATTTATTTATTTATTTATTTTTTAAAAAATATTTATTTATTTATACAAGCACTGGGTACAGTCAGAAGCACGGGAGGGTGAGAGAATTCACCAGAGCCAGAGCTGGGAGCAGAGCAGGCAGAAGGACCGAAGTACACTGCTGAGGGGAGCAGCGGGTGGCAGGAGAGGACTGCACACCATGTGGGACCCTCCTCCGGTGGCCGGGGAGCAGTAGGGGATCGAACCAGCGCTGCAGAGGCTGCGGGCAGCTTTGCCACCCAGCGCTCAACCGCTGCTGCGCCACCGGGGAGGCCCTATATCCTGAATTTTAAATAAAAATGACTTTCTACATCACAACTATAAACAAAGAAAATATTCGTCCAGTTGAAATATGTTATAGATTAAGTTATGTAAATTAATTAGTTCAGGAAGAATTATTGGTTCCTAGTTACTGAAATATTAGAGACAAGCCCTCAGAGGCTTATGCATGAAATCAGTTTGGATACAAACCGCAGTTTAAAAAATGTTACTGCTGGATCATTTCATTAAACAAAAAAACAATATTTTCCTGGATTATGAGTTACCAGCTGTTTTCCATTGTTTTCAAATGTTCTTAATTTTGCCTCATTATTCATTTGATCCAATTTCTTTAGATGTTTCTTTCTATCAGAACTTTTACAAAGCTTTGTAATTGAGAGAGGAGTCTTTTGGAAGACTACCATGTTAGTAAGCAACATAAATTCTTGGTTGCCAAGGTTATCTCACCACTTTACAGGGCAAAACTAAGTGAAAATTAGATGTATTTTCTCTAAATCTACATATCACAATCTTTAATATTCCAGTTCCCTTATTTGATCTTTGATCTTGTTTCTCCTAGATGTAGACTTATGCAGCTCCAATTCATAGTAAATAACTTCAACTTTGACTCTACTACTTCAACATTTCAAGTGCTTCTTCTCAGTTTCTGTTATTTAAATCACAGCATTACATAAACTGGAATTGGAATTAAAATAAACATTCAGTAATGTGAGACACTTAGTATTCTCTACCTTCTCACACCTTGCCTACATTCATATTCAGTCAAACAACATCAAATGTTATTTTAAAGAACAACCTAGATCTCTATAGATCAATTTGACTAGGTGAATCTGAATAGAATAAAGGACATAAAGGCACTAAACCATCTTGGGTGTAATTTTGCATTTTTCTGATTGATACATTACTTCATATTCATAAACACAGCATTCTATTATAATCAAAAGTGCAACGTTAGAATAAGCATTCTTTAATGAATGATGTATTCTTAAATTGGAAAGGTGATTAAACAACCATTCTGTGTATTCCAGATTCACCAAAAGATTTCATTTTTCCAAGATTTATTTAATGACAGAATGGAAGATATAGTGTTCATAAAGCCAAGCAAATAGTATATGCTTAAAAGTGCTGCCTATTTTTACCATTATAATTATGAGTTTATAATGACAGTATGGACAATAAGTATATATAGACAATCTGGGAGAGATATAAATTCAAGCATCTATATCATCAAAACAGAGTTTTATAAATTCAATATTTTTATATACAATGTCCATTTGATAAAGATTCATTTAATGTTATTCATCACAATAAGATACTGATCTTTACTTCAATGAGAACATGCTATCAAATAATCTTGGAAGAAGAATGTTGAGTTTTTTCTAATCAGTAATTTCTAATTTAATTATTTATAAATTTTCAGTTGAGTTTTGCCTTCTTCCCTGAATTTATCATGATCTCCAATATAGTGGTATTTGAATAGAAAAAAGAAAAAATACACACTAGTAGCAATTACTTTCAATATAATATATATAATATTAAAAAACTATTATATAATTTATTGATTTTAATA